AGACGTCAGTACGCGTCAAGCCTTTTGATCAAGGACAGGTGTTCAGAAATCCCCGGGCTAAAACTCGAGCTTTTATTTCTAGTCTCTTTGCATCATATCCTCGAGCATTTTCTTCGAGCATATATGCACGGGGGCCTATGATGGTGACATTTTACAATATCCCCGATCAGTATATCCCGAGGACTAATTTTGGTAAAGTTGTAAATCCATCTGTGGTGTCCTCGAGCATGTTCGTCCTCGAGACACAAGGCCCGACCACATCTCCATGACGCTTCGCATATTGCAAACATGTGTCCTCGGGCATAGTCCTCGGGAATGTGCTCCTCCTTACTGCTGACAATTGTTCACCCTTTAGAATTCCTACGCAATTAGGAATCTTAACTCCCACAAGAGTCCTATCTCACGCATAATTCTGGAATTCAACCAACTCCTTAACCATTCAGGACTCCAACAGATGAGGACATCCAGCTAGTCGAGTCCAATTAGGAGAATGTCACTTACTACTATAAATACAGAACCTTGAACCATTATTCAGGTACGTTTGACATTGTTCTTCAGCACATAGCCTCACGCATATATTTCCCTTTCTGACTTAAGCATCGGAGGGGCGACGAAAACACACCTCGTTGCCTTTGTTTCAGGTATCAGAAGATCACGTTCGTGCTCCTCACCAGTCATCAAGCTCGGAAAATCAGCAGGTACGATTTTTGGTAGCATCACCTGGCTTTCTGCACACCCAACTTATAATTAAATGGCAAGAAATAAGCACTTATGGATAACTTGTTGACTTGGTCAAAACATGGAGGGTCATATTCTTTACCTTTCTATTGTTTGACACAAACCTAGGGCACAACATTTTGCTGCTGTCCAAACATTGTAGAATGGAAATTTATGCACCCAAGGATCGAGGCTTTTGTTTCCATAATCGTGTAATAATCTCTTTCTACTTCGTTGAAATTGTTGGCCACAATTAGACAGCCCCACCACCCCTATCCCCTACCCCATGCCAAACAATCAATTAGCTCGCATCGTATAAATAAACAATACATAATAAACTAAATCTTTTATCGAGAAATTTACGTTTCGAATTTTCGAGTTCCAAGGTAGGAATGGGAGTATCAACTTATTACGGCTTGATTTTGAGGTGAAACCACCTGACCCCTTTCATTTGGCATGATTAGTTTGAAACTTTTACTTTGACAAAGTTCTCGTTCTTTTTTTAAGAGGGGCCGTTGACTATACACCACTACAATTAAACTTAGCACGACTCAATTGTAGACTTGATGTAGCTAGTAGTCCATTAAGGAGCCCATCACATGACATTCTATGCGCGGTGCCACCTCAATCCAAGCTTGAAGAGCACATTGTATTTTGATATTTCTAAGTAGAAAGACTTAATTTTTTAATTATAAGTGATGAAGAGAACTTATATTTCTATATCTCTATTCGATACATCTAATTCGTCTCTACATCTAATCAAACATTTCTTGCAGATATTTCGATTCCAGCAAATAATGACGCTATATCTTCAATCCGCTTAATTCTTAACAAATTAGTATTCGCAATTTGTGAGGATCGTTCTAGCTATATAAGAAATCCTTGATTAATAATAAGATAAATAACTTACTTCGAAAATCCGATAGATTTATGAAATCGGTTATTATTTCTGAATTTCAAAAAAGATAGAAAAATAACTGGGGATATTATGTGATTAGTTAGTAGTCCAAATATTAGTTGGTATTTCAAATATCACCAAATTCTTTACCGCTAAATTGTGCTATACTAATTTTGGGAATGCAATAAAAGAAATTTTTATTCAACAAGATTTTCTTGAAATGCGTACGAGAGAAAAGTTAAAGTGACAAAAACTTCCTGTGCATTAGAATGGTCACATTAACTTACCTGACAACTAAAAAGTTAAAAAAGGGAGGGTCTGATCTCCTCTCTGGACTCTGATGTGGCCCAAAACGTTGGCTTAAAATTGATAAAAAGTGAAACTGAAGTGAATGTGATGCCTACTAAGAAAAGAGCATTTCAAGAAAGGGTCTTTCTCCATTCGTGTAAAACTTCCAAAAGCAAAGAAAAAGTCTTGTTTCGACTAAGGGACTGAAATAGTAAACTTTAAAATGCTAATCCTATGTTCTTCAAATATCATGATATTTGGCTACTTTGATGCGTACATGCCTAAAAAAATGGAACTGCAATGAGACAAATATAGTAGAAGTGACGATAGTAAAACGAATGCATTCATATTAAAATGCACAAAAAATGAGAGTAAACGTCGATAAAGTGGGTGTGATGCCAATGTAGAATAAACTATACAAAGTAATGACTAAATTAATTGAGACACATTTTGATTAAATCAAAGAGATTTATTCATAATAGAATTACAATCTCAATAACACGATAAAAAGAAGTACTGACTGAATTATTAGATTTATTCGTAATAGCGATACAATCTCGTGCATTATCCTAGACAGAATTCATCCCAGGAAGAAAAGGACAAAGAAAGACAGGTGAAAACGTGCAGATTTAAACGAGGGAAAACTAACAAGAATTATCCATACATGAGGAGCTTATGAGCCACATTACAAAAATGAGTTTTTTTTTACATTTAAATGAGCATGCTCTAACCTAGTTTTACAGCAAAATTGGGAATAATTACCAGAATTAAGAGTATATATCTGTCGAACATTGTTCACCAGTAAAGAAAACTTCTACTGGTTTTCAATATCCATCAGGGGCATTTTCCAGTAATTCCATGAGTTATAATCTTCCTGCACGGATAATGCACGAACAAGATGTTAGTAGATGCAGAAAACCCTGAATAAAAAACAAAATATCGATGGCAATGTTTTTGTCACGGTAGTACCTGCTCGACCAGTGATGTTGGTGGGAACATGTCGTGTACCAGAGTATGCAATGAAGTGTATGACTTCACGTCAATACGGTGATTAATGGCCACCTCTCCCTGTGAACATAAACGAATTTCATAGACAAAACAAAATGAAAAAAATAAACTTGCAGAATAGTGGTCATGTAGAGAAACGTGTATAAATGTTTGTTATGCAATGCTGGATGGTGCAATGAACAAGATTTTAATTTTTTTCCTCTTTATTGATATTGTTTGGTATCCAACTTGCTAGATGAACCAATAAAGAATGATGACTACCTTGGGATTAATGATAAAGATTTTGCCTTCTGGGATCCCTATTCTCCGATAACTGAGTTCATCAGTGTCTCTGTTTCCGAAACCAGCATAGAATGGATTATAGTCGGCAGGAAAAAGTGCTTTGATATCCTGCAAAAGGTGGTTCACACTTAAAAGGGAGCTAAAATCAAGATGTTCAAAACTTGAAAGGGAGCTTAGAAAATCAAGATGTTCAAAAGAATAATTAAACACCTACAAAACTTGCACGCCACAGTTTTACTGACCTCTAAACAGGCAATCTTGAACTCATGAGGAGCTCTTCTTACGACTGCCATCAATGACAAAATAACAATAAATTCTTATTATTAGTTGCGGAATTAAATTTTCCGGACTATAAAAGAATTTCACTATTTTTATCATGCTGTGCATTTGTAAACAATTAGGTGTTAATAGAAAGTCAAGTAATCATTCAGGGAAAAACTTACCTTCTCGGTACAATGAGGGAAATAGGCCATCAGGTGAAATCACAACAGGTCCATTTGGTAAGCTTTTTCCATCCTACAAACATTATAAATATTTTTCACCCAACGGAATTTGGTTGTAGTGCTAGTTAAATTCTCGAGTTTGCTACAAAAGTAACATGGAAAATTTACTACAAAATTAACATGGAAAAGTTAAACCATTGACGAGACAAAAAAAGGTGGCTCAAACAATTACAGGACCTGAATTATATGGTTCATCAAGAAAATTCAAGATGAACCATATAATTTTTGGTTGTTCATATTTCTCAATTTTAAAAAACAAAAAACAAAAAACAAAAAAAGAGTTCAAAGGAAGGGGAAAGTCAAAGTCAAAGCTAGTATATATTAGTTAATTTAAATATGTAAAAAGGTAACCAAAACAAAATCTCCGAGGTGCGTAAACATTAATTGAACACATTTTGATCATTAGAGCGTTCCAAAAGCACCATTTGTGCAATAAAAAGTTATTAACACCATGGGTTAGGGGTACAGTATACCTGCTTCAGATTGAATAGAAAACTCTTAGTCAAGTACGCTTGAACAATTGCTCGTGCACTCAGAAATAACAACTGATACCCATTCTCCTACAATAAGAAAGCGTTCGACATGTACAACAAATTCAATTTAACCATAAAAATAAAAACATCCCAATTGCATCAGTAACGACAGTGTCATCACAATTCTATTATCATATCTACATATAAATACATGAGAGAAGCATAAGCTTTAGAGGCTCAAGTAATGAAGATCAAGTAAGCCAGTAAAGAGACGAGGTCATAGCAATTCCCGCTTGTGGAAAACGCATGAATAGATTAATTAGATTCATTGATCTCGGATAAATCTAGACTGGCTAGGGAAAGATAGTGTGGTCCCGGCTTAAGTACAGATCACAGAAGTTCTTGAGATTTGTTAAAATGGCTGTGCATAAGCTGATTTTTAAGCTTAACTTCCACTCTATTGACTAAATAAAGGAAAGACACAGATTAAGTACCAATGTTTTTTACAAGGAAAGCTATGAGGCATTGACACTTAGTAAAATCGAAAAGAGATAAAAAAGGGGGGAAACTGGCATCTTTCTGTCGTTTTGAAGGTAAATTGAAGTGTTGTACTTGTATCCATCATTAATCAGCATAAATCAATCCAATTCTTTTGTCACTTAATTGCCAGAGCATGCATTGAGACATTTTCTTTAATAAGTTTTAGCTCACATTCAACAATATCCATGTGATGAAATAATTATATACACAACTTTGCAATTATATCCCTTGTGCATGCAAACGTTATAAGATTTTTATGCTTAACTTCCACTCTATTGACTAAATAAAGGAAAGACAAGATTAAGTACCAATGTTTTTTATAAGGAAAGCTATGAGGCATTGACACTTAGTAAAATCGAAAAGAGATAAAAAAGGGGAAAAACTAGCATCTTTCTGTCGTTTTGAAAGTAAAAGAAGTGTTGTACTTGTGTCCATCATTAATCAGCATAAATCAATCCAATTCTTTTGTCACTTAATTGCCATGAGCATGCATTGAGACATTTTCTTTAATAAGTTTTAGCTCATATTCAACAATATCCACGTAATGAAATAATTATATAGACAACTTTGCAATTATATCCCTTGTGCATGCAAACTCAGGAGCAGAACTCTAATTCAGTAGAGGCAAAACTCTATTAAAAATAAAAATATTGAAACAAGATAATAACAAAAAATAATAATAATAATAATAATAATAATAATAATAATTTAAAACATTATAATTTATATAAAATACATTACAATGGTTCATTACGAATTATAATAATTTAAAATGCTAACCTCATTATTAATATCATCAAATATATTATTCTCAATATACACACGATTAACAATCATTCATCCATTACTCTCCAATTTGATCGTGTAGTCAATCTTTTACAATGTTTACACGAGAAAATAATCTTTATAGTAGTTAGCAGCAATAGCAAAAATTAATGCCCTATTATAATTTATTCTATTACAAACCAACTTTTGTGTAAGGTTACTAGGGTTTTGTAATTAAAAACCAACTTTTGCTTTGGCAATATCAACTTTCTCTTTTTAGGCTGTTGAATTAGTGCTTGTGGAATACTTATCAAATTGGCCCCCAATAGACTTTGAATTAGCCTTGTTATCCAGGAATTCAATACTTTTTTCTTCATTCCACATTATATTGGGTTGTCTAGGTGTCTTTAAAAGCTGAGTTAATCTTATTTTCTCTCAATAATTAGACCCATTACCAACTCTAAGAAGTGTCCCAAGGCCATAAATAAGCCCATTGATTGCTCTTTACCCGAAATAGGTCCATTTAATTGCTTATTGAAGCCATGAGATTTTCAGAATTCAGATTTCCGAACTAATTTTAAATTATTACATTCAAGTGCCTGCTTTTTTTCTTTTTTCTTTTTTTTTTTGTCTATAGACAAACGATTCCATACATCCTTTTTGCATTTTATTTGTTCAAATATTACAACCCTCTACTTCACTTCAGTCCATATCAAGCTTCATGCTTGTTTTACATCTCTGTTTTCGGAATTCGGTCCACATCAACCTCCAATATACGTCCTTTTTTTTTTTTCTAGAATTCAGTCCATATCAATTTTCATGCTTGTTTTTACAAATTTGGCAGATCTAGGAAAGAAAACTATATGATTTACAACCTCTATTTTCAGTAGGACAACACCAAGAAAAATAACACAAAGCTTAAAAATAATACATCTGATGAAATTACCTTAATTGCAGAAAAAAGACGAGCTATTCCAGAATGTGTCCAGTCCTTCCCAACCAGAGGCATAAACTGACCAAGAACATCAGATCTGGAAAACAAGAACATATGAAGCACAACCTGCATGGGATATTGGAAACCTATCTTTGCTACACCATAGCTAATTTGCTTGAATAATACAAATAAAAATAAATCATATCTCATGTTAATGGGTTATTTGATCCATTTAAGCTTACAAAAAACCAACCGCAAGGGGATGCAGCTGATGGACCATCTTGAGTTACCAGAGATCATAATTCATCGAAAAATGTGAATTGGTAAATTTGTTTTTATTTATGTTCTATTGCTTCCCTCTCTCCAATCTCGATGATGAACAATTGTCAATGTGAGAACTTCACTATTCCCAATCAACTTGTTTACAATTCCTCATAGATGTGGTACTTAGCATACAACATATATTTTTGAGATATCAACAGGACCAAAAGAGTAACATCTATTTCCGGTGACATTGTGGTAGTATCACCAATATTGTTTGATAAACAGGATAGATTAACGCCAACTTTGGCTGATTTTCACTGTAGCATGAACAAAATTATTATTATATCTAGCAACAGTGAAATATTAAGGTTAAGATCTACAGCAAGCCTTCCAACCAAAATAAGTGAGACTGCTTTGCTAGCATCATAAATGGAAGTATCAGACATTTCAGTCTTTTCTCATCCCATATATTTCGAAGAGCAATATATCGATAAACTTAATTGTGATTAGCTAATAGCCTCCATTCGAAATATTTTCTAGATTGTAGACTTACAGATCATCAGTTCTATCGTTTCCAAATGAACAAGCTAGAAGAGTAAGACAATATAATCAAAAGGCACTTCAAGATCTTCTATAATTTATATTAATAAGTAGCAATACATAGCAACGGTTCATACAAGGCAAATTAACCTTACTTGGTTATTGTCCCATCTACATCAGAAATTACAATTCGTGTATTCCACTTCCACAAGTATATATGAGCTTCAACCTGTTTCAGAAAAATGTAGATTAGTAACAATTTTAGTGGGTATTAATTCCAACCAATTATCTATTTTATAGAAAAAAATTATAGACCTTCTGAGTTCCAAGGACCCGTGTGGAGAAGATGAAATTCACCATATTCTGTCCCTCTTTGAGATTTAAATAAGCTATCTGATCGGTGGTGGGAACATTTGTTCTTATAACTTGCTTCCGAGGAGACTCGCTAGCTAGTGCTGGAGTTGGTTCGTCATGTTGGCTCTCTGAGACAGATTCAGAATCCACAAAGACCTCCTCATGTGATGAGTTACTACTGATATGTTCAAGTTTCTTAACCCTCCGAAATGGAATTGGCCAGAGCCTCCATTTGCGTCCAGAAGGAGTCGAAGTCAATCCAGATTCAACTTCCTTCGCTTCTGTTGTTTCCTGTTCCACTGGAATTGCGTTGTCTGGCTCAACAGGTAAATCCAAACCATAAGCTGCTAATCCAAGAATGATAGGAGCAGCTTTATCCCATGTTAAGTACTTCCCTTGCATTCTAACTATTAAGTTTTCATTTTTAACAATCGATGAGGCAGAAACTTTAAATTCCTCCGCTGATATGCAGCTTCTTTCGAAGGCTTCTGCTGCTGCACTCAAATCCATGCCAGCACAAAGCAAGTTTCCACAAAGAGATAACTCTATTCCTGCCAAGTCATATATAATATGATTAGAGAAACTGCAAAATAGTACTAAAATCAAATAACAAGTGATTCAAAATTTATTATAATATCAAGATGGCATACCATACCTGTGTTGAAGTCTGCTTTCATGTCTCCACTTGAATCTCTAGAATGAGGGTCCAGATGTTCGCTTTTACTGAATTCATCTTCAGAAGCAGGTGCCCGCGGGTCACTCAGCATTCCTTCAGCTACTAAATTAGCATACATCAGATTCTCTGGCTTCTGTTCAGTGCTAACTAATGGTACGGGCTTGCTATCAGTACCACTTTGATCTCTATCGAGTGTATTCTTTTCATGGATTTCACCTTGAACTTGCAAATCCGTCAAAGAAATAGTGCTGGGATATTCAGAATCTGAGGGAGGTAATCCATTTTGATTTGTTGATTTTCCAAGATTTCCCTCTTCAGTTTCATCATTTGTCAAAGGACTTAGAGGAGACTTCTCATTTAGATCTTCAGCAAACTCATGAATCTGCATTGAGGAACATGTGTCTTGTTGAATGGCATTCATAGACTTTACCGCCAATTCTTGGAGCTCCAAACAACTTTTGAATACCTCAGCCCTCTTAAAACTATTAGATGTGGTCTCTGAACTAATTCCCATGTAAAAGTCTCTTCTCTGGTTAGCTGTGCTCTGGCTCTCTAAAACAGGAGAGAGATTCTCTTCACCTCCTTCACATGTATCCATTGTGTCTTTAGAAGCTTGACTGCCATTGTCCGCCTCACGTGCATTGTCAGAAGTAACTTTACGTGTAGAGGTGTCCAAATCACTCAAATAATCAGCTGTCCATGTAACTTCATTTGTATGGTACTCTTCAGTCCCTTCACCTGGACCTAGGTGAAACTGGGGCGTGCTTAGTTGCAAGTTCTCAGCATTTCTCTCCAAGGATGAGATGGGTGCCTTCAGTATGTGCCCATCCACACTCACCAGAACTACTTCTGAATTCGAAGTGTGTGATTCTATCACATGCTCCACACTATCTAAATTGTATCTTTTGGAATCATATTCTGATAACTCAATTGAACCCTCTAGAGAAGTTTGTTCATCTTGAAACTCGTAGAATACCCGCTCACTGTCAGACTCATTCTTCTCCAATCGGTCCATACCAAGAGTAATGCGTTCATCTCGCACCTCTACCTCGCCATTATCAAAATCATTAGTCTCTTGTATGTGAAAACTATTATCCTCTGACTTATTATCAATATTGGTACCTTCACAATTATCAGAATCCTTCAAAACACTGTTTGCATTGTCGTCCTTGTCAGAAATAACTTCCCTAACAAAATATGCTTCACCAGAATTATCAAGACACATATGAAAATTAGCATCAATTCCATTAACTTCTATCCGGACAACTTTCTCCGCACCTTTAAGAACACCCTGAAATTTACCAAATCGTACATACCAAGGCGTGCTCCGGAAGGTTCCATCTTGCTGCTGGACGACTATTATGTCAACTGCCCCACCAAATGGATGAAATGGTGTGGCGACAGAGTACATTCCTTGTGTGATAAAAGTGCTAACTTTACCCACGACATTCATTTAATTTATGTACAAAGTATTACAATCCAAAAACTTTGAAGCAAAAAATAAAAAATAAAAATTCAACTGATCTACAAAGATGATATTTCAATATCCAATCAACGGGATTCTATCACTGTATCTCAAACCATCACCTGAAACTCATTCCACCAAATGATACCAAGGAAGCAAAATTCTCAGTTATTTCACTTCTTGAATGGAAGATATCTGTATGCACCAAATCATTCAAAATAATTACATGATCGCCCGGACTTTTTTTCTGAAAGACAACTTCAAAGATCAATGCGATTGAACTAAAAACTAAACACTTAACTTTACATCAACAAAATAATAAAATACGAAAAACAAAATGACATCAAAACAATACAAACAAGAATCAAATATGCTAGAAAATGCCAAGTATAAAAAAACAAAACAAATAGTTTGAACTTACACAATCAAGGAAATTCTGAGAAAATCTTAGTGCTTAGCGATCAAATTGACATACATCTAACAGCTTAAAATCAGATATAAGCTCCCCGAAGAAGATTAATAGTATTTGTTTCTGGGTATGGTGCTGAGTTTATACAAATATGTTATTATTTGAAAAAGGGTATTCAAAGGCTTCGAAATTTGTACTTGTGAAGAATTGAACGTAATTTGGATTACAGAGAAAAAAGTCATAAATTCAATCCCCAATTTGTCGAGCAATAAATAGGTAATGCTTTGAACAGGGGAAAAAAATTTGTTGTTGATTGACCTCGTATTACGGATTTAATTTCAAGAAAACCGCTGTTTTTGCTTGTAAAAGTAAAATTCTGGTAAGGCAACTGGTAAATTTGGTACTGTTGTCGTGTTTCGTGTCGTAAAGTTAATGGGTTGCTATGGAAGGTTCGACAGGGTGCACCTTCTAGTTAACTCATTCATAGACAAAATATATTTTGATTGGTTTCCCATTATAAAAAATAAATAAATAAACACAAATTATCTAAACATCCTTGCGGTTTCTGGCTATATTTCGGTCGGGATCTTGTTTGAGCCATATTTTTTTGAAAAAAATGAATTCTTGAATAGTATTTTAATCTCATATCAATCACATATTTTTTAATAAAATAATATTATATGTAAATTCAAAATTTTTCATTATTTTTAAACAGCACATTATTTTATTAATACACTATTTAAAAATTCATTTTTTGATAAAAGTGGGGCTCAAACAAGGGTATTATAGATTAATGTTTTGAGAAAATTACATGAATTAATCTACTTTGTCGAACGGAAAATGATAGAAACACTGATAGATATATGATAGCAGATTATTAGATGTAAAAATTGATCGTGTTTAAAATTATTCAATAATAAAATACTATGTGGCATTATGTCTAAAAGTATGTCAAGACATCTAGCAATGTAACTTGATTGAAATAACATTATCCTAGCCTTCTTTGATGAGATGGGAACTTTCTTATACTCATAAGTTTATATGAGGTTAAAAAATATTAAGATTTGACGTCCAATCTTACAATGTCAAAGCTTATTAAAATAAGGAATTCAAATCTTTATGTTGATCCATATTTTTATTTTTATTTGATGTATTACATAAAATGCCATCAAGACGGTGACTTGTTTAAGTAAATAAATTTTGAAATTCTCGTAATCATTTTTTTAGTCTTAATTGGATCAAATTACTCGTTAGATCTCAATGAACTATAATACTATAATAAGACTTGATGTTTCAACTTAGAATGTCAATTTTATTAAGATGGGTAGCACAAGTTATTATATGTTGATCTATATTTTCATTTTTATTTAATATGAAATTTATCCCTTAACAAGTTATCGACTTTCTGTTTAGTTTTGTTGAAAATTAGATATTTAGTATATTTTAATAACAATTGTTGAAATATATGATTAAAAAATTTATGAAAATTGTAAATCCTATAAAATACGTATTTGAAACAAGTTAAATAATATTAAAATAATTAATTAACTAAACAAGACAATACATGAAGATTTTTTAAATAGCCTCCACCTCGTCTTTTTGTCATCGCTAAACTGTATATAATTCAAATATTAACTTAATTAATTCTATTGTCATTATTTTTATAAAAAAGATAAAAAAAAAGTTTTGGGAAATCCAAATTGACATCATTAAATTATTTCATTTTTTTCTGTCGTGCTTTTGTCTATTTATTTAACTGCAAGGGCAAAATTACATTGTTGAACAAATTTTAACTAGTTATTTTACAATGATGCTACACTAACATTAAGGTTGATATAAAGTTTGACATAATGTCACGTGGCGTTTTATCATTAAATAGTTTAAAATACAATCAACTTTTTTATTCATTTATTTACTACCACATACAATTATGTCAAGCTTTATGTTAAATCATTCTATCAAAGCAGCTTTACCCATTTTTTTATAAATTAGGGTAAATTTGTCCGCCAAGGATCAAAGTGCTATCGAAATGAAAGATTGAGCCCCCATTTGATTCTCATTATTTTCAAAATACATTTTTCTCTCTTTTATTTTCAACCACGCATTCTTCAATAAAATAATATTGCACGCAAATTCAAAATTTTTTCTTATTTTTTAAATACACATTTTTCATCAAATCACTATTACAAAATGCATTTTTGACAAATAGTGGGAATCAACATGCCCTGAGAATATAAATGCTATTTTTTAAATGTTAGGTATTAAAATGCAACAAATGTCAAAGATTGGAGACCTTTGCTACTATTTGCTCGAAAATTAAGCTTCCCTCTTAATCATTTTTACATGGTTGATTAGCACATAACGTTCTTATCTTTCATTATTATTGTGAAAAACGTTTTTACCTTTCATTTTTAGCATTTTTACCATTATTTCTACCCTTCATTGCGTAAAATGTTATTTTCATCAATTTTCTCAATTAAATGCTATGAAATGGTGAATATATCATTCTGTTTAAATTAAACAAGAACAAAAAGAAAGAACTATTGCCACCATAGTCCCATTTTTTTTTCTTTTTTAAACTGCAAACGAATTCCAAATAAATTAGTATAAGAGTGATTAGCACATAATGTCCTTATCTTTCACCATTATTCTGAAAAAAGTGCTCATACCTTTTATTTATTTAGGCATTTTCATCCTTAATTGCACATTTGATTACGCAAACCATCATTTTTATCAATTTTCATTTAATTTGTCAATAAAAAGCTATGAAATGAAGAAAATATACCCTCTTATGTAAATTTAAAAAAAATAAATAACTAATTGCAACCACAGCTCTATTTTATTTTTTTCAAGTGCAAACAAATCTCAAATAAATTATTAAAAATTAGAAATTAAAATTTTTTTAAAAATGCAAACAAGTCCCAAATAAATTATTTAAAAATTAATATATTTTATATATATGAGGGTATACTCATTGTTTTATAGCTTTATTGAAAAATTTGATGAAAATAGATAGAAATAATTGTTTGTGCTATTAAATGTGTAATAAGGGTGAAAATGTCAAAATATAAAAGATATGAATGTTTTTCACAATAATAATGAAAGGTGGGGACATTATGTGTTAATAATTTATTTGGATCTTGTTTACAATTTTTATTTTTTTTTTAAATTGAGATTATGATTGCAATTAGTTCTTTCTTTTTTTCTTTTTATTTAAATAGAAGGGTATATTCATCATTTTAGAGTTTTTAATTGAGAAAAATGAATAAAAATAACCTTTTGCATAATAAAATGTGGAAATAAAGTGAAATGCAAAAAATGAAAGATAAAGACATTTTTTCACAATAATAGTGAAAGGTAATGATATTATGTACTAATTACTTTTTTACATCCTTTTGCTAGCTAAACCCACCTACAACTCCAAATTTTGAGAAATTATTTGTGAAATTTATAAAAGAGAATAGTAGGAAGAATGATAATGCGTCCGTTCTACCATCCCATAAAATAGTTTATTTTTTGTTTTCATTTGTTTCAAATTATAGAGCATTTTTCTAGTTGAAAGTAAAATTAATACTTTAATATACCCTATTCAATGTGCATTGTTATTATTAAATACCGTCATTAACATAAGATTATAATAAGAAAATATAAGTAAAATTTATAGTTATAATTATGCTAATTATTTTTTTTAATTTGTATGAAATTTAAAGCAAGCATATACGGAGGGTTAAATTCATCAATGGCCACCCAACTTTATATTTAGAGTCATCATGACCATCTAATTTGATTTTGTTTCATTATGGGCATTTAACTTTATAACCTAATTTGATTTTATTTCACTATAATTATCTAATTTCATATAACATTTCATCATGGCCACCTAACTTCTTTTCTCCATTTTTCACTAATTTTAAAAGAAGTACAATGGTAACTTTGCGTGTGTGTATATATATATTGAAAAACGTTCTTTATAATAAATTTTTATTTTATTTTATTTTTTAAGTAACTTTTTTCAAAATAAGTTTTTATTTTATTTTGAAAACATTTTTTAAATAATTTTTATTATTTTTTTTTTATTAAAGAACCTTTTTTTTAAAATATAATTTTTTATTTTATTTTATTTTTCTAAGTATTTTTTTTAAAATAAGTTTTATTTTATATTAAAAGCATTTTTTTAAAATTAGTTTTTACTTTACTTAAAAAATTAAATAAATTTTAATTTTATTTTATCTTTTTAAGTAACATTTTTTTAAAAATAAAATTTTATTTTATTTTATTTTTTAAAATAAGTTTTTATGTTATTTTTAAAAGAAATTATTTTATATATAATACAAATTTATCGTTTTACCCTTTTTAAAATTAATGAAAATGTTGAAAAGAACTTGGTTGGTCATAATGAATGTCATATGAAATTTGATGGTCACGGTGTTTTAGGAAATTGGATGGCCATGATAAAATAAATTCAAAATAGGTGACAATTGTGACACTAAATATAAAATTAGATGATTACAATGGAACAACATCAAATCTGATGACCATGATAACACGTATAAAGTTGGATGGCAATCAATGATTTTAACCCTCAATAAAGGACGATTTCATTATATTAATATCCACAGATCGTAAATTTCGCCCCACCAACACCCTCTTTTTCTTGACGGAGCTTTTATTTAAAAAGGTCAAGTCAAAGCAAAGAATCATTTAAAAAACCTATGAACCATCTTTTTGAGTTAGATGGCCTCAAGATGCAAAGAAAAGGAAAATACAATTTATAAATTACTAAAATATCATTGTATGTAAAAAGACATAATGCCCCAATTTCCATTTAGACCCAATTCAATTTTGGCTTCCTTCCTTTCAAGATGGGTTCGCATCTCTTTGCAATTTTGTAATTTTTTTCGTTTTTTATCATCTTTTCTCCTTCATGAAACCCTAAAATCTACTGTTGTCATTCTCTTAAACACTCACTTGGTTGAAGTAAGTAATCAAATCTTATAATATTCTTGATGAGCATTTGAAAAAGAAGAGAAGATAATGTTAAATTTCAATATTTTGACTACTTTCTTTTTCAATTTTTCTGAATCACATGTTATGATTTATATTTATGTTGTTCATTTATCAATAATGATTTTGAATTCATTTTATCATTTAATTAGAGTTTTGATATGGGTTACTTTCCTCTTCTTCTTCTTTTTTTATTATCCCTTATTTTTGAAGTGAAGATGTTGGTAAACACATGTTTGGCTATTCTATTTGTTGTTTTGCTTTTAAAAAACATTTCATTTTTTATTTTATTTTTTGGTCCAGAACGACTTACATATCATTTTCTGCAAACCATGGCGATATGTATCTCTTTATCAGTAATGTACAAAGTTTGATATATGATGTGAAATTTTACAATTTTTATGTTGAATTGGAGTTA